CTCTACTACCTGTGATAGGCCTCAGTCGGCCTGCCGGATAATGAGCCCACACAGATGGAGAGAGGCCCCCTATCCCTGCCAAACTTATTGATGCTACAGAGATGTGAGGGAGCCCACGCTGAACCTGCCCAGCACACAAAGACCACCCAGGTGGATCTAGCACAATTTGTCTTACAGAATCATGAGGAGATAACTAAACCAATATTTGAAGTCATGAAGTTTCAGAGTACATTGTTACCTAGAAAAATGTGACAGATAAACAGTCTTCAAAGAAATTCTGCTTTTCAGCAAGGTCTTAGTACTTCTGTGGTTCACAGGCTCCCACAAGCCTGGAGTGGCACGGGGAGAAGGTTAAATGAATGAGGAAAAACTGACAGGCTTTCCCAGCCCAAGGCATGATGTTATTATCATTATCATTATTAATATCTGTCTTTATGTGGCATCTACTACTTGGGAGTAGTTGCTATGTGTCATACACTGGACTCTATTTAACTTTATAATCTGTACTCATCTGTAGTTTCATTTACCGTATTAAATATCATCGAATGATTTTCCTTCTGTTTTATAGAAAATAACCTCAAGGCTCGGGTATTTTGAGTGGGTGGCCAAGGTGATGCAGCTGATAAAATAAACAGCAGCATGGAATACATGTTTATCTTGTTACAAAATCTATATTGTTTTCACCTTGCTACTCTAGACTCTGTTTTGTTGTGAAGCACCTTTAACTATTGCAAGATAGTAACTTTGCCTTCAGAGTAAACCTTCACCAGTGCATAGAGTCAGACCAAAAGAATTTGAAAAATACACAGTCTTAGAGAATGTTATAACTGTTTATTAGAACTAATATAAATTCTACCTAACTTCTTTTCATTATTGTTATTATTATTATACTTTAAGTTCTGGGGTACATGTGCAGAATGCGCAGGTTCATTACACAGATATACACATGCCATGGTGGTTTGCTGCACCCAATCAACACGTCTTCTACATTAGTTATTTCTCCTAATGCTATCCCAGAATGTTATAACTGTTTATTAGAACTAACATAAATTCTACCTAATTTCTTGGAGGGCTCCTCTTAATGATGTTAATTACAATGGCACATCCCATTGCTATTTTAGTTATGGAATCAATGACATATCAATGAGTGCTTTCTAAGAAAATTGTTGGACAAGTACTATTTTGAACTCCAAATTTTATTCCCACTATTAATTTATGAAGAGGACCTTTTCTCTTTCTACTAGAAAAAGGTAACAAATTAGCTTTTGTTAAAATGTTATACTGTTCTTCTAAGTTTCATTTACTTATTATTTTACCTTACATTGAAATTATGACCTGAAGACAGAAGCAACTGGAACAAGGTCCACTGTGTTATGGCTGGAGGAAGCAGGAAGAGGAGAGAGACAAAAGCAGGTTAAAGATAGAAAGGGCGTCTATTAACTCCTCAATACTTTGCCTTGTTTGGACTTTCCCTTCACCCCCCAGGATGTGAGATCTGAAATAGCACCCTCAACTTCCCATCAATTCTAACACAATTCTAATCCCACATTTAACACCCTAACTTCTTAACCGGAGTTGAGTTATTCAAACTGTAATGTTAATAGCTGAGATTCTGGAGTGCCATCCCAAAACATTTTGTTCATTTGCCAAAATCCTGAGGAATTTCCATGAGATACAAAGCAGATAAGTCTGGATACAGGAAAAAAGATAAAAACATGTTATTCTCTACACAGCAAGAAGGATATTGAGTGGTAAAGGGAGCACATCTCAAATGGGACCTCAAAAACCCTCTTCATTCACAATGGCAGGACCTATACCGTTAATATCTCACCTAATCATGTTAAGGCACTGGATTCTGAATCCACACAGAAGACGACCCTCACCCCTCCCCTCACAAGGACCTATGGCTTGCCCCACAGCATTGCATCTGTACTATTTACCAGCTGTGTGACCCTGGGAAAAGGCCTTCAACTCTCTGGGCTTTAATGTCATCCTTGGAAAATGAAGGATGATATTAAAATATGACAAGTATATGTAAAGAGTCCTAGGAATTTTTCATTCCAAGTGCAGTATATGTCCATTCCTCTTAACTGCCTAATAAGGTACCATCAATGTCTCCAGCCAAAGACCAGCAGGAGCATACCCCTGAATGAACAAGTCGGCTTTACTGTTTATTGCAATGATGGATAAAACTCACCATGGGGATTGTGCAGCTCCTGAGTAAGAGATTGCTGGAACCAAAGAAGTGGAACCAGGAGAATACATATGTTAAGATAATGATGCAAGGAATTAATTGTTGCAACTGTGGGGGTGGCCTAGGCAAGTCCAACATCCACTGGGAGGTGGTTGTCAGGAAGGGCGGGCTGGAACTCTCAGCACTGGACACGATGTCCAGAGGGGAATTTCTGTTTCCTCAGAGAAATTTCAGCTCTGCTCTTCAGCTTTTCAACAGCTTAGATTAAGTTCACCCAGTTTTTCTTGGATAAATTCTTAACATCGACTGATTATGAACTTCAATGACATCTACAAAATATCTTCACGGCAACACCTAGATTCTGAGTGTTTGATTGAATAACTGGGGATCACAGTCTAGCTGACACGTAAAATTAACCATTAATCAATTGTAAGGTTCGTGCTTGTTTTAGGTGATTTTGGGAGGATTTAAGAAGAGGGATTTTGCTTTTATTTATTTATTTATTTTTTAAATTTTTTATTGCATTTTAGGTTTTGGGGTACATGTGCAGAACATGCAAGACAGTTGCATAGGTACACACATGGCAGTGTGTTTTGCTTCCTTTCTCCCCTTCACCCACATTTGGCATTTCTCCCCAGGCTATCCCTCCCCAGCTCCCCCACTGCTGGCCCTCCCCTTTTACCCCCAATAGACCCCAGTGTTTAGTACTCCCCTCCCTGTGTCCATGTGTTCTCATTCCTTCTGAAACTATTCCAAATAATCCAAAAAGAGGGAATCCTTCCCAAATCATTTGATGATAGACTGGATTGGGATTTTGCTTTTAATTGGATTCTGACAGAAAGTGAAGGATTGGGGTAGCAATGCTATGATTGGGTAGCTTCATAAATCCTACTTAGAGGGATGAAAGACTATCCTGAGGCTACAGATGTAATTGGTAAAAAAGCAGAAATCACTGCCGACAGAGATGTGCCTGGTCATTTTTGCGGTTTGGACAATATTCATGTTTTGTCTGGCTTCAGACATGATGACTGAGCGTTCTGGTGTTCCATCTCAATCCATCGGGGTCACAGAGTACCTGTCTGATTCCGATGTTCTATGAAATCCTTTATCTTCAACAGGAGAACCAAAACCACCTAGAAGTGCCAGGCTAGCTCCTAGAAACCCCAAGGCTTTGTTAATTGCATCCAGGCAGCTCCCAAATATCCAGACACTTTGTTTGTTTGTTTCACCATTTTTTTTTTTTTACAGTCTCTGCCACGGGAGGTAGAACAGTGCTGAGAATCTCAGAAAGCCATTTATCAAGGACAGAGTGATTCTAAATAGAACTTTCATTAACTCATGGTTTCTACCACATACAGAAAATATATTCACCCCCTCCCCCCAAAAAAATAAGTTTCCCTCTACTGACTAACTTTAGCTCAATCTCTAGTCCCTTGCACATATCTGGAATTTTAATGTAGTAGGATAACAATTTTTAAAATATCTGGTAGTTTAAGAAAAGAAAATAATTTTTCTAAGTCAAAGCAATTCTACTTATTCTACCCTCAACTTTTGACTTGACAGTCTTAATTTTTAAAAATTCTTACAGTAATTGAGCCAGCCAAAGCTTTTTAAATGTAATCAGTGTCCCTAAATTTCCTTTAAACATACTCAAGAAGCACCAAAACACAGAAGATAAGGATTACTCAAGTCAAAGAAAAACTGTATAAAATCTCATACAATTACTGTAGACAGCACCATCTGACATTATAACCCCTTTTTATTGCCCTGGCAACACCTGGATCTTTTGAGAGCTTGAGAAGAACTTACCCAACTGGATTTATGCAAGTAGAAAAGGCAAAGGTACTGCTTGACTACCACCAGCAGAGATTGCTAGGTAGGTGGAGTCAGCTTAATATTTGGAGAATTCCATATGCACTATGGAGGCAAAAAGAAAAACAGCTAACCTACACAGAGAAACCAGAAAAAGGGGAGGGGAGGGGAGGGGGACTGCCAGGGAGGAAAATCAACTCAGGGAAAATTTTCAGAAACTCCTGAAAGATACTACATAATTGATGACCTTATCCATCCATGAGGCTGCTCAGAAACTCCCACCCCCGGCCAGACGCAATGGCTCACACCTGTAATTCCAGCACTTTTGGAAACCGATGACGGATCATGAGATCAAGAGTTCAAGACCAGTCCGGCCGACGTAGTGAAATCCTGTCCCTATTAAAAATACAAAAATTATCTGGGTGTGGTGGCAGGCACCTTTATTCCCAGCTACTCGGGAGGCTGAGGTGGGAGAATTGCTTGAACCCAGGAGGTGGAGGTTGCAGTGAGCCAAGACCACACCATTGCACTCCAGCCTGGGTGACAGAGTGGGTTGCCTCAAAAAAAAAAAAAAAAAAAAAAAAAAAAAAAAAAAGAAAAAGAAAAAAGAAAGAAATTCCCACACCACTGGCAGATATGCACACACCAGAGAAGTTTTCTATTTAGTATCCTCCCTCCATTCGGGGAATATTTCCTCAAGTCCACTCTGAGTGGAGGCTGCATCACAACCAGGGAATTTCCCTGAGTTCTTCCAGGGCTGTTTTTTTTAATATACTTTAAGTTCTGGGGTACATGTGCAGATCTTGCAGGACTGTTACATAGGTATACACATGTCATGGTGATTTGCTGCCTGGCCTGTGTATATCTTCCAGGGCTATTAATTCAAACTCTTCAACTAGCAACTGAAGGGTCATCATAGGGGATTTTTCCAGTTGGCCAAAACCTGATCTGGCTTTGGCTGGCTCAGTTACTCTAAGCTGTTTGCTTTTAGTGTCTTCAGATTTCCTTTTCTTGAGGTCCTCACAATTACTCTACAACTCAGAATAGCAACTGCTGAGGCTGCCTTGGGAAGAGGATGATCCTAAACAAAGCTCTGATGCTGGGGGCCCTCGTCCTGACCACCGTCCTGACCACCGTGATGAGCCCCTGTGGAGGTGAAGACATTGCGGGTGAGTGCATGAGTGAGGGATGTTCTCTGGAGCTGAAAAACAGGAAATTGAAGGAAAGGAGAGAAAGTGATTTGCAGAGAAATCTCAACAATTTCTCTGCAAATTTAAATTCAAATCTTTAAATTTCCAAAAGAGATTTAAAAATCATGTCTGTTCCTCCTTCAGGAAACCAGAGCCCCAACCTACTCTTTTTACTATCTATGCTGTTGGCATTCACTACGGCCGCTATTCTGTTTATAATCTTTTCAGTGACTATAGCCTGGAGGTCTTTATATCATTCCATCATGATTGCCTCAAAAAATGGTGAGGTTTCCATCAGTGGAGAACTTTTTATTATTAAAAATTTGTGAAGTGTCACTCTCAAATTTCTCTGAACAACTTTTGAAGCTTTCGTTTGTCTCCTATAGTAGATCTTGGGGTAAATAGTTCCATTAATAATGTACTCTCTAGATATTAAGAAAGATGCCTTTTTTTCCTCTCAGACTTGCTTACATTTCCACATAGGAACTGGCACAGGTAGGGAGTGGGTAGAGGAGTCCAGCAGGCTGAATGCCTTCAGCAATCATCTCACCACGTGGTCCTCACTTACTCTCAGCTGCCTCATACGTGTCACCTCACAATCAAATAAAATCAGCATCTAGATAAGCTTCGTAAATAGTGGAAACGTGAATGTCAACTTTTTTTTACGTATTTCTATTACAGATAATAGCTTCACATTTCATTTCTTTAGCAAAATAAGGAATCCTTTTATTTTAAAATTGATAATTTATGGTAGGAAAACTTGGTAAATTAAATCATATTATTCTCAAATTATCAACCCAAATTACCTGTTCTTCACCTCATCTAATGAAGTCCTATAAAAAGAAAAGTGGGCCAGACATGGTGGCTCATGCCTGTAATCCCAGCACTTTGGGAGGCCGAGGCAGGAGGATCATTTGCGCCCAGGTGTTTGAGACCAGCCTGGGCAACATAGCAAGGCCTCATCTCTACAAAAAAAATAAAAATAAAAATAAAAATTAGTCAGGCATAGTGCTGCATATTTGTGGTCCCAGCTACTCAGAAGACTGCAGTGAAAAAAACTGCTTGAGTACAGGAGACAGAGGCTGCATAGGCAACAGAGAGACACCCTGTCTCAAAAAGAAAGAGAGGAAGGAATTAAGGAAGGGAGGGAGGGAGGGAGGGAAAAAAAGAAAGAGAAAAAGAGAAAGAAAAGCAAGAAGGCAAGAAAGAGAAACAGAAAGAAAAAGATGGCTGCCTCATCTGTGGCCTGTATAGATGACTTTACTAACTAGCTGGATAGAGGAAGATAGTATTCAGTCCTAGTATGTGAACAAAAAACCCATTCTAGGAAGTGCAGCCTTGGGGCCATCTGCCCTATTAATCCTGTTGGGGAATGTTTAGTAGGAAAAGCAAATAATTGGACTGAATATCGTGGATCTACGAGATCTAGTTGCCTCTGAGAAATAGCTTGCTCTATTTCCTCAATTTCTCTTTTTGCTGCAGAGGTTAAATACCTGGGGGACTCCACGGCTGTATTGCCCTATAGGATAGAAAACAGGTCCTGTAATAATTAATCTGTGCTTCCTGTAATTTATCAGTAGTTATGCCCAAGGTGTGGTGAAGTCAATTAATGTCACCCAGTAATCTTTGATAATCATTTAAGGTGTGTAAGTTGCTAGTACTTAATTTAACCTTTTGAGGTCTTACTGACTGAGAGGTTAGTATGTATCCAAGATATTTCCAAGGGGAGATATCTGTACTTTTTCAAGTGCTATGATTAAACCTCTTAACTATGTATTCTTTATGACAGAGGCACATAAACTCAAAAGTACTGGCTTCAGTAAAATGTCATCCATAAAATGGATAATCTTGCAATTAGGAAATTCTTTTCTACTGGGGAGCAAAGCCTGATTTACATGATACTGACACATGGTAGAATTGTACAGCATTCCTTGAGGAAGTACTTTCCACTGAAATTGGTGAGGTGGCCTTTCATTATTGATAGCTGATATTATAAATGCAAATTTTTCTCTGTCCTATTTTGCAAGGGAAATAGTATAAAAGTAGTCTTTTAAGTCAATAATGACTACAGGCCAATCTCAAGGAATCACTGCGAGGGAAGGGAGCCCCTGTTGAAGGTGCCCCGTAAGTTGCAAATTAGCATTGATAGCTTGTAAGTCATGCAAAAGTCTCCATTTGCCAGACATTTTGGGAATGATGAAAATAAGTGAATTCCAAGGGCTGTTTGATGGTTCTAATATGGCTGGCTCTTAACTGTTCCTCAACTAATTCATGGGCTCGTTGTAATTTCTTTTTTCAAAGGCCACTGTTCTACCCAAATAGGATCTTGAGAGAGCCACATCAGGGGTAGGGAGGAATTATAGCCGTGGCCATTATTAGAAAGGGGTCTTTAGAGTGACCCCCCCCATTGAGCTAATAGGTTCTGTCCTCAAAGGTGGGTGCTGTCCTCAAAGGACAAGAAGGGGAATATTAGAGGCTATATAACTGCTTTTCTTCCTTCCAAATCGCAGCACGTTAGCGCTCTCGCACTCTGCTTGGCGGTGTGCACTTCCCTGATGCCAACAGTTTTTGTTTCTGAATGACCCAATGCCAAGTTTCTGGCCAGCTTTGGTCGCTAATAATTAAAATGTCCACCCCTGTGTCCAATAAGCCAGTAAAATTTTGATTTCCAATTTTTAAGGTAATAATGCATCTCTGATCAGTGATTAATTCGTTCCAAAATACTCCTGTGGCTCCCGTGCTTCCAAAGCTTCCCCTTCCCCTTTCCTTTCGCTGGGCGTTGAGCACCCAGAATGGTAAGAGTAGTAACTGAGCTATTTTAGATTTAGGTGGAATAATATGTATGCCTTTAATTCCATCATGACTAACATCTCACCTTGATAATCACTATCAATTATCCTGGTGAGCACATTGATTCCTTTACTGGATAGGCTTGATCAAGCTTTAGGAGCAATCCAATTGTTCCCAGAGGCAGTGGGCCCCAGATCCCTGTTGCAACCCTTTAGGGTCTTCTCCTTCTTTTAGCACTAATTATTTGGGACAAACTAAGTCCAGTCCTGCGCTCCCAGAGGTGGCTGCTCTGAGAGAGACGACTGTGGGTTTTTATCTGATCAAGAAAAGTGGCTGGCATTGCCCCAGTTTGGAGCAGGGGCCTGGGGAAGGCCCCTCATGAAGTTTCCTGCCTAATTACTTAGGGCGGTTGCCATTTTTATCAATCTGGACTTGCACTGATTTGCCCAATGTTTCCCCTTTTTACATCAGGGGGTTCTTTGCCTGAGTTACCTTGGTCTCTACTATTGGAACATTCCTGCTTCATATGACCTGGCTTTCCACATAAAAGACAATTAGGGGTTTTCTCCCTTTAGGAGGCTTTAATGCCATAGAGAATATCTTGGCTTTGTGTGTTTCAGTTCCCACCGGTTGACATGCTCATGTAAATTCCTCAACTGTAGCTGCTTTTCCTCTGATTGCCTGCATTGCCTGTTGGCAGTCTACATTAGCATTTTCATAAGTCAATAGCAACAATAAGATATCAGCAGCCTGGGCATGACTAATTTGTCTCTTAATTGCCTGGGTTAACCAACTGATAAATTCAACAAACAGTTCCTGAGGCCCTTGTCAAACATTTCTAAAAGATCCCTGTTGAACTCCACCTTCAGGAATTTGGTCTCAAGCCCTGAGAGTTCGCAAAGACACTTGTGCATAGGCTTGGGGAACAAAGCTTAATTGCTGCTGTACATTGACATAGGGACCCTCCCCTGGAGCATAGTGGCTGTTATGTCTGGCCAGGCCAGTTGGTTCTGGTTGGCTTGTTGTTGGCACAACTCATAATATTCTGCCTTCCAGAGGAGGCACTGATTGGGCTTTAAAGCTGTTTTAGCTAGCACTGACCAGTCCCATGGGGTCATATGGAAGTTGTCTACTACAGCTTCAATTAATCTTCTTGTAAATAAGCTAGCAGCTGTTTCTCTAATGCTCTTCTAATCTCTTTATAAGCATTAAAAGAAATGGGTTCATATACCTGATTGCCTTGTCAATCTTGCATTGCTAGGTGGGCTAAGAGCTCCTGTTCTAATGCTACTTGTCTAAGACAGGGTTCCACAGCTGTAGTATATCCCTTGTCCTTTTTCCAATTCATTAGGGGAACGGGCTCAAGGAAAATTTCCGTTTCCTCTTTCATATCCTAACCAAATAACTGCAGGGCAGAGGGAGAAGGAGAAGGCAGTAAGGTAGGTGATGGTTCCTCCTCCCTTCCTTTTTTAGGCCCTTCTCTGTAGGTGGGGCCAAAGCAGCCCTGACTAAGGCCCATAATGTTAAAGATGTTACTGTGGCCCATTGGCCTTGTGCATTTTATCTTTTAAGATTTCTCCCCACTTGTTCCCAGAGCTCTATGTCTAGCATGCCTTCTTCTGGGAACCATGGGTTCTGGGAAACAACAGTTTGCATTAGGGGTCCCTTAACTGAACCTGCGAAATTGAGGCTCCACTAGCTTTAAGCTGCTGTTTCAATATTTTTACATACTGTTCTGTTGAGCAGATAACTGTTGTCCCATGACAAAACCCTAGCTTGAATATTCCCCCAAACTTGGAAATCCCAAGTGGGCGCCACAATGACTTGCTGACTGTGCAGTCTCTTCAGATTTGTTTTCTTCATGCAGGGCACCAGCTGCCAAGTCTGTTCTTGCAGACACTGGCTGAGTGACAGATGAAAGCAGCACTCAGACACAGGTATTTTGCATGAGAGCAGCTAGGGTACTGCTGGAGAGTAAGCAGGAGTCTCGACAAGCTGGAGCTCTTTGCTTTTATTCAGTGCAGATACAATGCCAAAAGCCTGGAGCCAACACAATCTGTGTGTAGTTAACATTGTTGGCCCCCTTGCAGGGAACAGTCTCCTGAGAGAAAAGGTTGGTTTCTGGATGACATAAATAAACTTATGTAGATAAATGTCTTTACACTCCCTTGTTATCTACTCCTTGCCCTCTGCCTTAGGATATGAGAACAGCTCCCTTCAGCTTATTCTCTCCTGAAGCTTTGCAAAACCCTCCAACCTTTTTAGAAGGTTTGCATCTTTCCCTATAGCTTCTCCCACCACCCTGACCAATCTCCTAGAGTACTCCAAACTTCCACCACCTTATTAACCATGGCTGCTCCCATTCTGATTTTGCTTGGCAGTGGAAGTTTCACCTGCTTCTCCAGAGCACTTGGCTTCTTTGTTCCAAATTTTCTTTCTTTAACCTCACACCAGAGTGCCCTGGTCAGGCTTGGCTCATCCATTAGGCACAGTGTGGACAGTGCAGGGAAACTCCCACACTGTAAAGCTACATGAGAATGTTTTGACTCCTTAAAAATTTTTTTTTAAAGGTGAAATTTTAGGTCCTAAGAAAATGTTTTAACTCTTAATTCAGCCTGGATTGTATTGTTTTATACCAATTCAGTCATATAATATAATTTTCCATATTTTTATGGAGGGAGGGACCCACAAAAGCAAGAGGGCTTGTGGATCACAAGTCAGAACACAGCCCTGACCATGGCTGATCCTGGCCTTCATATGGTTCTGCTACCGGTGTGCCTGTCAGTCTTCTCTAAAATCCATGAGGTCCTCAAATATAGCAACTGTCATTTAATACACACATTTGAGCACACAGTGACCTAAGTTTTAAGGATTCAAAGATGAAAAGTCATGCTATCTTCCCTGAAAAGGGTACTCAGTCTAGTGATAGAAACAGCATGGGGTTCAGAAAGGCAGAAAGTTATTGCTAAGGAGGGGAGTGGAATCAGCAGAGGTGGAATCTGTGTAAGTGACTTGGTTCCAGCTGGGCCAGCAGGATGATGTCCTCCAGGAAAACTCAGCACCCAAGACAAGTACCAGATGAAAAGGATTATATATATTCTGCATATATTCATGTTTGAACAAGGAGTCAAGGTTTATTGCAAGGATAAGGAGGCTTTGTTGGTAGCCTGCTAAGACCCACCAGGGAAGTCATGCTGGTTAGGGAAGAAGGTGAGCTGGAAGAGGAACAAACTTGGAGAGCCAGATGCTGAGATGGAGGGGTTGGAGGTCATAAGGTGGTCAAAAACATGTTGATAAGTGGACTTAGCTACAAAGTCGTTAACTAAGCAGAGACCTCAAGGATGAATTTTAGGATTTCTCCAGGAAGTCCTAAAAGATCATTTCACTTCAGGGAGAAAACAGACCACTGCAAAGGCCAGGGAACATGAAAGAACAATGTAGTTTGGTTTGCTTGGCAGATACTTGTGAAGGATGTTGGAATGTAAGTCTGTCGATATCCTCCTCACAGAACTCACCACAGTACATTGTATTTGCTCCCTTACCTACCTGACTCTTCCACTATTCAGTTGGTTTCTTGATGGTAGACAATGCCTGACTGGTGTTTTACACATCCCCTGCTTGTCTGAGGCTTACAGATGCTCAGAAGGTGGGGAAGGAAGGAAAGATACAATGGTAAAAGGCTTACACGTGTCTTGACAAGAATGTTTACGTAGGCTCATTTGGCTGGAGTTGTGCTACAAGGCTGACATTCTGCTCTGGCATCCTCAGACAAGCCCACTGCCCATTAGAGGAAAAGGGTTTAATTTACCTGCGTCTTCAAGTGAATGTACGTGTTGAGTCAAAACCCATACTAACCTCTCTCAGGAAAAAAAATTGTGGAGAGGAATGACAGAAATCCAAAAACTAGTAGAGCTTCCACTTTTCATTTCAGAAGAAATCAGTTGCTCTCCTCCAAGGACCATTACTATTAACAAAACAGCGATCTTAGAAGGAGGCATTGTTTATTTATTGTATATTCCATAATGTTATTACCAATCTTGTTATACTTTCTTTTTTTTTTTTTTGAGACGGAGTTTCACTCTTGTTACCCAGGCTGGAGTGCAATGGCACAATCTCGGTTCACCGCAACCTCCGCCTCCTGGGTTCAGGCAATTCTCCTGCCTCAGCCTCCTGAGTAGCTGGGATTACAGGCACGCACCACCATGCCCAGCTAATTTTTTGTATTTTTAGTAGAGACGGGGTTTCCCCATGTTGACCTTGTTGACCATCTCTCGACCTCGTGATCCACCCGCCTCGGCCTCCCAAAGTGCTGGGAATACAGGCGTGAGCCACCGCGCCCGGCCTTGTTATACTTTCGTATACCCTGCAGTTGTTAGTAGAAACTATTCTAAATTAATAAGGTTCTGCGTACTTTTCCTTTTTTTTTTTTTTACAGAAAGATCTCTGTGTAGAGTGTCCTGTTCTAAGCCAGTTCTCAGAGGAAAGGAAATATAATCAATTTGTTATTAACTGATGAAAGAATTAAGTGAAAGATAAAACGTAGGAAGCAGAAGGAAGTAAACCTAATCTCTGACTATGAAAGCTAAATACTATGATAACTCATTCATTTTTTCTTTTGTTCAATAACATTATTTAATCACAAGTCCACGATGTGCCAGGCACTCAGATTATAGTAAAAATTTGACATGCAATGTTCTACCCTTGAGTAGCACACATTGTAGTGGGGCGGGGGGGAAATCGCAATTTTAACCGAACTACCAACACTAAGAGGGGGGGAAGCAGGGGCTGGGAATGTCCACAGACTGTACCAAAGATGAAACCAATAATATTTGAAAGTCAGCTTCTTCCATCATTTTTGTATTAAGGTTCTTTCTTCCCCTCTTCTCCACCTTCCTGCTTGTCACCTTCACTCATCAGCTGACCACGTTGCCTCTTATGGTGTAAACTTGTACCAGTCTTATGGTCCCTCTGGCCAGTTCACCCATGAATTCGATGGAGACGAGGAGTTCTACGTGGACCTAGGGAAAAAGGAGACTGTCTGGCGATTGCCTGTGTTCAGCACATTTACAAGTTTTGACCCACAGGGCGCACTGACAAACATCGCTACGATGAAACCCGGCTTGGACATCCTGATTAAACGCTCCAACTGTACCGCTGCTACCAATGGTATGTGTCCACCATCCTGCCTCTCTGTACTGAATCGATCCCTTCACACCAAGTTTCATTATTTTCTTTCCAAGAGGTTTCCAGATCTCCTCATGGCAATTGCTGACATTTTATCATCTCCCTTCTCTAAAATCACATGTTCCCATGTAATACAAGGGTCTTTCCATTATGCATTCATTAAATACTTCTAGGAGAGCTCTCATCAATCTCTTACTTTATTGAACACGCCCACAGAGAGAAGGGAACAAGAATAAAGCAGAAGCAATGTGTCATTCCTCCCAAGCAGAAGTTAAATAAGACCTCTTTGACCAGCAGCAGAGGAAACGCTGGTAGGAGGGCTCTTCTGGGACATAATGCAGAACCTCAGGGCAGAGCTATTGACACATCACAATGCCGCTTCCTCACCACAGAGGTTCCTGAGGTCACAGTGTTTTCCAAGTCTCCTGTGGCGCTGGGTCAGCCCAACACCCTCATCTGCCTTGTGGACAACATCTTCCCTCCCGTGGTCAACATCACATGGCTGAGCAATGGGCACTCAGTCACAGAAGGTGTTTCTGAGACCAGCTTCCTCTCCAAGAGTGATCATTCCTTCTTTAAGATCAGTTACCTCACCTTCCTCCCTTCCGCTGATGAGATTTATGACTGCGAGGTGGAGCACTGGGGCCTGGACGAGCCTCTTCTGAAACACTGGGGTAAGTATGCATTCCTCCACGTTTAGATGCTCTCCTGTCTGTCAAGTTCAGAATATCCTGCCTTTTACTCCTATATCCCAAAACTTGTTTTTCACATTTCATGGGATTCCATTTTTTCCCCCTCTCTCTTTTTTTGTTTTTTGAAAGACTAGAGCAACAAAAGCAGAGATTTATTGAAAATAAAAGTACACTCCACAGAGTAAGAGCAGGCCTTCCACTGCATGGGTTCATGGGTATTCATGATAGGTTTCACTCTCCTCCCTAAGCCAGGAGGGCCTTGAGTCTCTGCAGAGCCAACCCTCCATCCTATCCCGTCCCACACACATGCACATAAGCACACTCTGCATTCTGACCTCAACAACTTCACTTCCACAGAGCCTGAGATTTCACCCCCTGTGTCAGAGCTCACAGAGACTGTGGTCTGCGCCCTGGGGTTGTCTGTGGGCCTCGTGGGCATTGTGGTGGGCACCGTCTTCATCATCCGAGGCCTGCGTTCAGTTGGTGCTTCCAGACGCCAAGGGATCTTGTGAATCCCATCCTGGAAAGGAAGGTAAGATTGAGATTGGTTAGCCCCGAAGCCACAGTATGAGAAGAAGGAAAGTGGGAGGAGGCTGTGGACATGAATGTGGTTGAAAGTCCTAGGGGAATTGGGAAGTGGCATCACGATGACACAGGAGCCCCTTTGGAGCCATCCTTCTCATGTCTGTCCTATTGCAGGTGCATCACCATCTACAGAAGCAGAAAAGTGGACTTGCTAGGTGACCTAGCACTGTTTTCTGGCCTGATTTATCATATTCCTTTTTTCCTCCAAATGGTTCTCCTCTCACCTTCTCTCTGGGACTTAAGCTGCTATATCTCCTTAGAGCTCACCAATGCCTTTGAATTCTTTCCTTCAGATTTTTTTTTCTTTTCTCAAAAGTTACCTACTAAAAGATGCCTGGGGTAAGCCACCCAGCTACCTAATTCCTCAGTAACCTCAATCTAAAATCTCCATGGAAGCAATAAATTCCCTTTATGAGATCTATGACAAATTTTTCAATCTTTCATCCAGGGCTGACTGAAAGTATGGCTAAGAATTGGGAGACTCTTATGTTTCAAGCCAATTTAATCTCTTTCCCAGATCATATTTTACATCCAGTAACACAGAAGCAACCAAGTACAGTACAGCCTGATAATATGATGATTTCTTAGCTGATGTTAATGTTTCTTTCTTCCTTGTGTTTCCACCCTTGGCACTGCCACCCACCCCTCAGTTCAGGCAACAATGAAATTAATGGATACCCTCTGCTCTTGGTTCAGAATTGTTAAAGCAAAAATTTTAAAACCAAAAAGTAGGTTTGTACTAATTTCAATATGGCTTTTAAAAGTGTGACAGAGAAATAAGTTAGGATAAAGGAACTTTGAATTTCAAAAATATCAGAAGTAAAAATTTATTCTCAAAACTTTAATTTTGTGAAGAATGGTGACAGTAGAAGCCTTCTTCTCCCATCCTCACCTTGAGGGAATAAAATTCTTTAGGCAGGAAAAGAAATGGAAGTCAGAAAATCATTAGAATAAGACAGTAATGTGGGTGTCTAAACAGGATCAAATACTTACTCCTCACACAGGGTTACTGACAATGGGAGAAGGGGTAGGAGTAGAGGCCACAGACATATCTAGGAGCTCTAGAATAGAGGTACAGTCTGCCTCACCTCTGAATGAAGCTTTGCTAGGGAACCATGTAGCTTTCCCTGTGCCACCCTGGCAGGAAGGAGACAGTATAGTAAATATGGCTGCAGGATATTTCTAGGAAACATACAGATAAAAAACAACGCCAATATCTTCAGAAATCCCCAGGCCTTTCCGCTCACTCCTCCTGGCTAAGGAAAACATGACTTTGGGAGAGAAACCCTAGGAAGAACAACACAATTGAGACAACGTGGCAGCAATGTGTCCTCCACTGGATTCGCCATCTCCTAGCAGAAACTCTCCCAGAGGAAACAGGTCAGCAGTGACCTCATGGATCTAAACAGCTACGAAATCTGTGAGAATATTTCTATCCATGCTACCCACATCAGTGAGTTTACATGTTAATTGGATAAAAAAGAAAAACACTAATGCAATAATGGATACAGTATAGTTTGGTGCAAAGAACTCCAAATCCAAATCCAGGACTCAGTACTTTGAAGCTAGTACTTTAAACTTTATAAATGGGTAAAGTATCCAACATTTCTGGCCTTATTTTCTCATCCACAATGTAGGAGTAATAATAGTTTCCTTACAGAGTTATTGATGGAATTTGAATAATTTTGATATATAGTCAATGCCTTACACATAGTGTATAAATACATAAGAAAACATTGTGGTTATATTTAAAATTAACTTATTTTAAAGAACAGATTATATTATATGAAAAGTACATGTGTTTTTTGCAGCCCCTTAATGATTTAGGAGATTCAAATGTAGAGCTACAGGCGAATTTCATTTTGTGTGATAATTGAAGAATATTTTTCTTTCTCCAGAATGAAAGAGGCTGAGACTGGATTGCTAAAAGAACTCTTAGGATGAGAAGTTGTAATATTTGACTTTTGTTTTCAACTCTCTAAGAAGGGATATATTCCCTTCTTATGGCCCATAAATGTTTATTCAAGGTATATCATGTGCAGCAGACGTCTGTGCATGTTTCCTTTGGGGAGGAGGTAAAGAAAGTTCAAGGAGAAAGTAATTTAAATGCAGATTGGGAATCAGTAAGCACAGGGAATCTGAACCAGCGACGATCATGAAAACGTCCAGCACAGAGCACAGAGGATTTTTAGGGCAATGAAACTAGTCTGTTTGATACCACAATGGTGAAAATGTCTTTACGCATTTGTCCAAATCCACAGAATGTACAACAAGAGCGAGAGTCAATGTAAACTATGGACTTTGGGTGAGAATGATGTGCCAATGCAAGTTCATAAATTGTAGCAAATGTACCACTCTGGTGGGAAATGTTGCTAATGGTGGAGGCTATGCATGTGTGGGAGCAGAGTGTATCTGGCAGCAGTCCCCAATCTTTTTGGCAGCAGGGACCAGTTTTATGGAAGACAGTATTTCCACCGATAGTGGGGGAAGTGGGGCATGATTTGGAGATGAACCTGTGAAACTGTTCCACCTCAGATCAACAAGCATTAACTAGACTCTCATAAGGAACATGCAACCTAGATCTCTTGCATGCACAGTTAACAATAGGGTTCGCCCTCCTATGAGGTCTAATGCCACCACGGATCTGATGGAAGGTGAGGCTCAGTTGGTAACACTGGCTCACCCACTGCATGGCCCGGTTTTTAACAGGCCACCAACTGGTACCGGTCCATGGCCCAAGGGGTTGGGGACTTCTGGGATATCTCTGTACCTTCTGCTCAGTTTTTCTGTGAACCTAAAACTGCTTTAAAATAAAGTCTGTTTTTAAAAAGGAAAACAAAAGGTAACAGATTATGTTCCTAAATATATAAAATAAAAATTTTAGTATAAAAAAGTCACATTAAAATGCACAGATGTGCTAAGAAATTTTTAGCAATAGAGTTTCAAATAAATTTCATATAAATTTCAATGATTCATGAGGCAATAACCCAGCATTTCAGAGTTGTGTGCATTTGTGTGTCTGTGTGTATGTATGTAATATAAGGATTATACTGAAGAGCATAATGACCAGAGTCATACAGAAATCTGCAAATGCTGCCCATCTCAGATTCCTTCCTCAAGTAGTACTGTGGAAAACAAATTTAATGATGGTTGCATTTTTTTTAAAAGGATATATTCAAAAAATATTTATGTAATGTTAAAATAGCAGAATTAAAACTAATTTTTAAAAATAAGAACAAATTTTTATCAGCTAAAAATGTAGAGACATTATTGACATTACTATAAATAGGGTTACAGATCAACCTCCATGATTTTAAATCCTGTGATACTTAAAAAATTATTTTAATTATTTTGGATTATATACACAAAATGTGACTTCATTAATATTTAATATCACACTATTTAAAATTTACAAAATTAGTGGGTCATAGAGACTTAGTGCCTGTGATCTTGGCACTTTGGAGGCCAATAATGGAGGAGGCCAATGGGGGAGGACTGCTTGAAGCCAGGAGTTCACAGTTGTCTGGGCAACAGAGCAAGGCCCCGTCTCTACAACATAAAAATAAATCAGTGCACGGTGGCATGCCTGTAGTCCCAGCTACTCTGGAGGCTGAGGCAAGAGGAACACTTGAGCCCAAGAGTTCAAGACTTCAGTGGGCTAGGGCTGTGCCACTACGCTCGCAGCAGCCTACGCAACAGAGCAAGAGCTCATCTCTAACAATAAATAAATAAATAAAATTTACAAAATTTCAAAAATCACATGAAATATTTCAGGTTTGCACTTACACATACAAACTAGGGATTTGAAGAATTAAACATTTTATTTTACTTACAGTCTGTACTGACACATAGTAAGTCATCAATAGGTGTTAACAATTGGTGTTATTGTTTCCTGAGTCCAACTAACAAATCCCACAGCAAATGACACCACAGGGATGCAACCAACAAGATCCAGAATATGGGATGAAGAATAAGGCTGAAGAAATGCATGAACCAAATTTATATGAGGCAATCAGAAAAATGGACTCCGACTGTATTAAGGAATTATCTAATTTTAGTGTGATAATGGCATTGCTGTTATGTTTCTAAAAAGTCATTATACTTTGGATTTTCATAATAAAATAATTATGAATGAAATACGATACCTGAAAATATCTCCAAAATAACCCAGTGTGCATGTATAACCATACATGGGTAGGCTTACAAAATTGCCCATGAATTGATCATTGTTAAAGCTGGGCTGTTAAAACGTGGTACTCTTCTCTCTACTGCTGTACTTAGTTGAAGTTTTCTGTAACACAAAGATTTTTTAAAATGCATTCCAGGAAAGTTCCATAAACATAGGCAGAGAAGCATTCATTCTGTTTAAAGTTATGTTAGTTTTTAGGCTATTCTTGTTTTTTCACAGTGAGGAAACTCTGAGTATCCAAATCCTGCCTAAGAATATAGCAACCTCTCAGAAACGCAACTCTAAAGTATGTGTATGCAAGAACTAATAATAACAGAGGAAAGAGACGTATCTTTTCCTTTATTATTGGCTGCACTAAGTTCCCAGACTTGTTTATATATTCATTAATTCATCAAAAATGCAAAAATGGTCATTGAATGCCATTATCGCAGTAAGTACCGTACTTTGTTATGAGTATCATTAAAATAGTGTGAAAACAGATACATTCATTGTCTTCATAGAATTTACACTCTAGTGGGAAGAAAATACATATATTACATAATTCCACAAACATATAATTACAAACTGTGAATAATTTATAAAGGAAAGAATGAGGTAAAATGAGAGAGTGTTGCCCAGGAACCAGGTGTAACTTGGGGGAGTTTAGAGGTGTCTTGAAGAAATGTGCCTTGGGATGATATACGATGGTATACGGTATGTAAAGGACAAGGTTGAGGAGGGCAGAGCAAATGTTTGAGAAACTCTAACAATATGAAAGAGATGAGAATAAAGTAATGAAAATTATCACAGATTTAATAGAGGAAGCTCATGTAACAGCAAACAAGTTGAAAGTCTTTCTAATTAGAATTCTTAATCTGTAAAAGTAGTAATAGAATGCTATAAACAATTGGAAAATTTAATAGAAAGTTTGGAAAATTAAATCAAGAAAATCTCACCGAAATTTAAAAAGACAAAGAAACGTAATATATGGTAGAAAAGATAAAACAGAGAATAGACCAAGGAAGTCCAACCTCAGGTGACAGAGCCATAGAGACCAACGGAGAAGATGAAGGGAGGAAATTACCAAAACAAATAATAAGGGAAAATTTTCCAAATGTAAAGGAACTATCCTTTACATGGAACGGTATTGTCAGGTACTTATCAAAAGTAATAAAGACTCATTCCGAAATAAATCATTTTCAAAATTTTAGAACCTCAGGGGTTAAAGAAACACCATAAAATATTCCAGTAGGGAAACCAAAATGAAACAAACTGACAACAGACGAAAGTGAGACTGCCTGAAGCTTCTATTATTAAGATAATGGGAAAGGCCTTGAAGTTCTAATGGAAAATTATTTTGTATTAATAAATGTAGACCTTTTCAAAATCACAATCAGGTGTGGAGAAAGAACAAAAACACTGTTGGATACGAAAGGGCATACCTATTACCTACCACACGTAGTTTTATTATTAGAAGTTGACTAAGGATACTACTTAGTAGAGCGAAATTGTTAATCAGGAAACGGTAAGGTAAGGAACCCAGGAAACTGAATTTAACCCAGGACCTCACTGAAAGGAGGTCCTACTATAGTAGCTCCTTGGCAAGTAAAGAACATCTGATACATGAGTGATATTTAGAAAACGATAAAGAGTTTTTCAACTTTTAGAATTAAGCTAAGAGCGAAGCTCAAAGACACTTATTGTTACAACAGAATGTCAAAATTGTCAGCTTTGACAATACTGAAGAAAGGGTGCATGCACCTCATTTTGGCAAGTGGAAGCATAAAGGGAGGGGAATGGAAGGGTAACAATGCCAATAACTTCACCTTCCAAGGAGAAAAGAGACATTGCCCATAGTTAAGAAAGAAATCACAAAGATCCCTACACTTAAATTACATTTGTAACCAAAAGAATTATGTAAGATGGCTCATGAATTAAAGCAGGGTTTTAGAAATGGGACTATCATTCAGTCACAAAAAGGCTTCAGCCTAACTTCCCCGGAGTTCTGAAGCTGTAAGAGACCCTCAGAGTTGGCCCAAATTAGGGAAAGGGTTTAGGACCTTTATACCCCCCACACTGACCAGTCATTCATAGGAGTGGAGTGGTTCTTCTTGGGAAGTGTAGTAAAATCCGATGAGGCATCTTTCACCACCTATGGCAATCTGGGGAATGACTGACAGCTAAGGGCTTTCAGCCAGCAGCATTCCCAGCAATGAGAGAATAAATCCTTCTGTCCCAAAGAGAGGAGTTTAGGTAGAACAGAATGGCATCCACAACAGAAACGGTGTTCTAGTTCCTGGGAATACATAAATACTCATGTGGAAGTAAACAAACTTTTTTTTTTTTTTTTGAGACAGAGTCTCACTCTGTCACCCAGGTTGGAGTGCAGTGGCATGGTTTTGGTTCCCTGCAACTTCCGCCTCCTGGGTTCAAGCAATTCTCTGCCTCAGTCTTCTGAGTAGCTGGGACTACAGGTGCCTGCCACCATACCTAGCTAATTTTTGTATTTTTAGTAGAGACAGGGTTTCACTATGATGGCCAGGCTGGTCTCAAACTCCTGACCTCATGATCCGCCTGCCTCAGACTCCACAGTGCTGGGATTACAGACATGAACCACCTGTGCTCGGCCCAAATTAATACTATTTAAAATTCATCATCTATTTAAAAATTTAAAATCGAACTACCACATGATCCAGCAATTCCACTTCTGGGTACGTCTGCAAAGAAAATGAAACCAGTGTATTCAAAAGGTACAAAGAAGGGCAGGGTGTGGTAGCTCATGTTTGTAATCCTACCACTTTGGGAGGCTGAGGCAGGTGCATTGATTGAGCCCTGGAGTTCAAGGCCAGCTGGGCAGCATGGTGAAACAGTGTCTTTACAAAAATTAACCAGATATGGTGGCTCATGCCAGTAGTCCCAGCTACTCCAGGGACTGAGGTGGGAGGATGGATTGAGCCTGGGAAGTCAAGGCTGCAGTGAGCTGTGATGGCACCACTGCACTCCAGCCAGAACTAGACCACGTCTCAAAAAAAAAAAAAAAAGTACAAAGTTTCAGTTAGACAGGAGAAATAAGTACTGGAGATAGACTGCACAGCATGGTGACTATGGTTAATAACATACAGTCGTCCCTCAGCATCCATGATGGACCGGTTCCAGGACCCTCCCTGTACACCAAAATCTATGAATCCTCAAGACCCTTAATAAAAACGGCTTAGTTTTTGCATGTAACCTAAGCCTATCTTCCTACATACTTTAAATCATCTCTAGATTACTTGTAATACTCAATGCAATGTAAATGTTGTTATACTGTATTGCTTTTGAATTGGAATTATTTTTATCATTATATTGTTATTTTTCATTTTTTTTCTAAACGTTTTCCATCGACAGTTGAATGAATCAGGGGATGTGGAACCCACAGATACAGAGGGCCAACTGTATTGCATATTTGAAAATTGCTAAGAGAGTAGATTTTAAATATTCATACCACAAAAAAGTAAAGCAATGGATATGTTAATTAGCCAGGTTTTATCACACGTATCAAAAAGTCAAGTAGAACCCTGTAAATACGGTTATATGTCAATTAAAAATAATGAATTTAAAATTCTTTTAGAGTGTAACATTCTTAACTTACTCAGATAAAGTTTTCTGTTTTTTTATTTTTTAACTTGTTTTTAAAAAATCATCTCTTAGCGTCCGTTAACTCAATTGATTCACTCTATTAACTTAAGAACTCTCTCCCTTAAGTTAAACATTTCATGATAATCAGGAAGGGCAAGGTTATGTTGCAATAAGATCTTAACCCACAGTAAAAAGTAGATCTCAGTGGCTCAACTCAATAAAGAGACTTCATTCCACAGTTATTCAAGTTTCCAGTTATTACAGAGTTTCCAGCAACTCATACACCATCATGCATCTACTTGCAAGTTCCATTGGCTGCTGTTAGTCAAGTGACCCCAACCTAATAGGAGAAAACACTGGGAAATGTACAGGAGCTTTGGAATGTTGGCAAGCACCACTGTCTCCAAAAGATACACTCTTATTATCTAAGGTAAGGACAAATGCTCAAGACTGGTAGGTGGTTCTCTAGAACAGCCACACACCTTCCTCCAAGTTATATGCTGACTAAGACTCAGTTCTTCATGTTAGCAAACTTATTTATACAGGATGTATTTGTCATTTTAATTAAATTATCCTTTAAAGATTATGCTATCCAATGAAATCTGGGTGCAAAAAAAAATAGTTGTTTCTATGAAACTGTCAGGAAGAAAGAGAAGATTTTGACCCTCTCATTAATAAAGAATTTTCCAGAATCTGCTCAGTGGGACAATGTTGAACTGTAAGAATGTGCTAGAATATAATCTACCACCCAATCCTAACCCTAACCCTAACCCTTCAGGGTGGGTGGTAAATTATATTCTAGGATATTCTTAGGGCTTATGCTTCAACTGGGAAAACCAGATCTCAATGTCTCCCTAAACTTTGAGTCTGGTTCAATCCCCATCCCTGCTGCCTCTTCCCTTTGCAGGATCAAAGACACACAGAAACTGAGGACACCCTGGACAACCTGGCACATGCCTTCCCCATTTCCCCAAAAGCATCACTCTCTTTTGATCCATATGGTGAATGACAGGGCCCACCCTGAGGAAGAGAACAAACTCAGCACAAAACGTTTTACTCCATTCAGCATTTTGCTTGAAAGCAATTCAGACTATAACCCTGGGGAGCAGAATCTAAAGTTTTGGTGCCTCTTTGTGAGCCAGTGTCTCTGTCTGAGGACCTGCATGACAGCCTGGAGTACAGGAGATGACGGTCCGAAGGAGACCTAGTTCTCCATTCTGACCTCGTCCATCAGAAGGAAGAGCCTGCCAAAAACTCCTCAGGCCCAGTGTGTGGGTGAGGAAGAAAGGAAGATGGGATGTCTGCTTTCAGGGTCATGGGCCTTCAAAGCCTTACAGAAGCTCTTAAACTCTGTCTTCATGACAAAACTCAAAGACTGAGATGTAGACCAGCTTCAGGGCTGGACTCACATCAAAGGGGCCACAGTGTGTAGTGACCTCCCTCAAAACCAGGAAGAGAGTGTCATCAGGAATCAACAGGTTTCTATGTCAATACAAAGGGAGCTTAGCCAAGGAATGGGATGACTGTGAACAGGTACCCCAGTGAGGGACCCTAGAACCAGAGGGAGTTCTTCCATCTGTCCTGTGGGCTCCACAAGAAACAAGCCACCCCTATACCCCTCCACTGTGGGGAGGCTCTGGAGGCTGAGGTGCTCCACGTGGCTAGTGTAGACATTTGCACACTGGAAGTCATTTCCAGCACCACAAGGATCTGGAAAATCCAGTCCTCCTTTCTAATAAGAGGAATGGGCACAATGCTGGTTGTCAGCATCTCGTGCACAGGACAGTGTTTTTGAGAGGTGTGCATGTTACCAAGTCTTGGCCAATCAGAATCGTTCCTAAAGTTGTTAAAACTCTGGCAGGCATTCTAGAAACATTTACAACGGAGACGCACAGACACACACAGAGAGAGAGAGAGAGAGAGAGAGGAAGAGAGAGAGAGAGTTGAGATAAAATATGAAGTGATAAGAAAGAGAAATCCAGAAAAATAGAAGCAAAAAGAAACACAGATAGAAAAAAACTGCAGATAAATAGTGACAATGGATTAGAAAAATAGAAAGGCAACAATGTAGTGAAAGACACAACAGGAGAACAGAGACAAAGATGCAGAGAGACACACGGAAGAGCTATACAGGGACAAAGAGATACAGAGAAAGAGGCAGATGCCCAGATAGAGAAAGAGAGAGGTGAAGATCTCATTGAATATCTGGAACTTGTCACTTCTGAAATCAACTTGACTATGCTTCCTTTGGACCATGAACAAAATATATTTGGGTTTCTATCATTTAGAATCAAAAATAGCACTTTTATTGCTGGTTATGCTTTCTTAAAAATAAAAATTATTCTTGATTGATGTAACTTGCCAGAATGCTTGAAACACCAGTGGCCGAGGGTCACTATATCTGTCCCCAAACAATTCCACGGTGCTTACTCACACAGCACTCACCAAACCAGAAGGCAGGCTGGGGTATTCTAAGGACTCTGCACTGAACACCAGTATGAAAGAACCCTGAATAATGTGACAACTGAACTGACTTTCTACCTCCTCCGCCCACCCTTCACACCCCAAAATGCTTTCAGTGCCTTTTCAAGGTACAACCCTCCTTCTGGCCACAGGTTGGCTGGGTCACCTCAAGGGATGTTCCTTCATTCTGCAGTGACTTGCTGCCTCTGCTCAATTAAGGAAGTTCAGAGTACAGATAACTCAGCATCATGTTTATTATGTTAAACAGCTCTAAAGTCAGGTAATGGTTTCATGTGGTTCTCTTGACCCGTCTGAGGAGAAAACAGAAACAGAAACCCCTTGGGGCCTGAGTAGCTGCAGCTGGCCCTGCACAGGCAGAGGCTCTGGGTCAGTGCAGGAAGCAGAGTTACAGTCAGCACCTTGGGGTGAGGATGAAAGATGACCTGGTGGCTGCGTGAGAGCCACTGTAGGACTCTGATCTCAGGGGACGGGCTGACAGAGAAAGCTGGGAATTCTGGGCAGGGACGAGCAGGCATTACAGAAGAGTGATAGCCCATCCCTGGTAAAATCGTCTCAGGAGTCAGTGCAGGAGCCCTGGAGAAGAGAGACGAGGCATAATCAGCACAGGGTACCCTGGTGGGCCTGCCATCTGCCCCACCCCTCAGGGGACCCCTGCGGCTTCAGACAGAGAAAGCTGAGGTCCAGGGTGTAGCATCATCACCTCCCCCAAGATCTGAGCAAAGATGAAATCAGCTCATGAGGACACGGAACTTCAGCTTGATGCAGATGTGTGGGAGATGGGGGAACAGCTGTTACTCTTTTTTTTTTTCTGCTATAAAAATGTTTTATTAGGCCAAACTACTTACTATGAAAATGCTTTAAAATGCAGCAAGAAGAGATGTAAAGACTCAAAGAAGTGCATAATGACAATGGCTATCAGAACACACTAAAGAATCCACACAGCTTCCCCCTTCACCTAGAAAAGGAAGCTTCTAGGCTACCTCCTCCTCCTCAGCACACTTCTAGGGAATAGGAAGGGTTCAATCTTTTGAGGAAATTGAATAATACTTCATTCCTACCACTAGTGGCCTCTCAGTCACTGGAAAATGCCTACAGGAAGCAGCCACCAAAATGTGGCACAAAGTGGGCATCATCGTGGTGTCTAACATTTAAGCTGTGGTTCCGTCCCCACATTTCACAAGAAGATGCCACCAAAGCTAAGGCTTGGTTCTGGGGAACAATCTCTGGAGATTCCTAGAAACTGGCAAACTTCTCCCTTAAGTCTTGATCCTCATAGCAGCAAATAGGCCATAAACAGAGACCACTGTGGTCAAGTACACTCAGCTCATGCTCTTTCCTCTCATACCTGTGCCCTCCCCACACTGGATCATGGCTGAAATATTACCTGCTGGGGGAGGCCCTTGAGGTCCTACAAAAGGAATTTATGTGGCGAAGCGCTGTGGCTCACACCTATAATCTCAATACTTTGGGAGACCGAAGTGGGTGGGTCACAAGGTCAGAGGTTCAAGACCAGCCTTGCCAAGATGGTGAAACCCCCACCTCTACTGAAAATACAAAACATTAGCTGGGCATGGTGGCAGGTGCCTGTAATCCCAGCTACTCAGGAGGCTGAGGCAGAGAACTGGAGTGGAGAGAAGTGGCTCTGCTTCCTCCGAGAAGTGGAGGTTGCAGTGGGCTGAGATCGTGCCACTGCACTCCAGCCTGGGTGACAGAGCAAGATTCCGTCTCAAAAAAAAAAAGAAGAAGCTATGCAAAGAAAGGTCTCAAACGGTCTCATTACTACAAACAGCCACTCTCTCACCCCAAAGGAAAATGATACATATGACTTAATTAGAGTTATATTCTCTTCCCACCCATGTTCTTCAAGATCTTAAGCACCTAATTTAAAATCCCCTAAAACAAATGAAAATGTCGCTAGAAGGCAAGGAGGCCAAGGCTCTGACCCTCTTAATGGAGGGAGCTTTTCTAAGGAGCCAGTGAGACAATGATGAACGGTAAGGCCATCCTGGAATAAGCTCTATGAGTCAACTCTGTGACAGGGTTACCTTTCACCCAGTAAAATCAGATTCCAATGCCTCCTCCAACCTTGTTCTGTCTCCTCTCACCTCCAGCCCAGGCTTCTTTCTCTCAGGGTCAGAAGGAAAGAGCTACATCTAGAGACAGTTCCTCTCTGAACAGAGAGGGTCACAGCCCATCTTCCCCTTTTCCCCTGGGGTTCCTCACCTTTCTGACTCCTGTGATGGATGATAAAGCCCAGCCCGAGGAAGATCAGCCCGAGCACGAAGCCTCCAATGCCACTCAGCATCTTGCGCTGGGCAGATTCAGACTGAGCCCCTAAGAAGCAGAATCTGAGTGTCAGTGTTTGTCCCTACACCCCATAGCATCGCTGCTGAGGAGCTGAAGTCCAGTCTGAGGTGCAGGAGGGGAAGGCATCAAAGGAACATAGTTCTCCATTCAGACCACCCCTAAGGGAGGGAAAGACCAGTCAATAGGTCCTTGGATACAGTGAGTAGGTGAGAGAGCAGGGAAGCAGATCTCTGCTCCTTAGGAACTCATCTATAACCTTAGACCCTAAGATCGCAGTCACCAGCCCTAATAATCAGCCCCTCAGAGCTACCAGGACTGGGATCCAGAGCAACAGTATGTAGAGTAATTTCCCTAGCATCTGGAAAAGTGATGAGATCAGAATTCTACTGATGCACTTGCCATCAGAAGAGGTGCTCTAGTCTCCTGTGATTCCCAGATCAGTAGTGACATCAGGGATAAGGGATAAGATGGGATGAGTCAGAAGGAGCTCTGCACTTTGTCTCATGGGGCCCATAGCAACAGAAACTCAATATCCCCTTACGCCACTCCACGGTGATGGGGCTCTGGAGGCTGGGGTGCTCCACGTGGCAGATGTAGATGTCTCCATGCTGGGGAGTCATTTCCAGCATCACCAGGATCTGGAAGGTCCAGTCACCATTCCTGATAAGGGGAGTGGACACAATACCGGCTGACTGCTCCTGGTCATTCTGAAACCACCGGACTTTGATCTGGCCTGGATAGAAATCTGTCACCGAGCAGACCAGCAGGTTGTGGTGATTGAGGGCCTCTCTCCTGGATGAGGAGATGGTCACTGTAGGCTTCTCTGAGGGCAGTAACGGACAGGAAAAGACACAGGAATGAGATGTGAGACCATACAGCACGTCTACCACGAGGAAATGTCCCTCCTTGGAACCAGAATGGAAAGATACCTGGAGTCCAAGTCTTCGATTAAGATTCATTCAAAAAATGTAAATTTGACAATCACTGGAATCCAAAGATAAACAACATACCATAGTCCCTGCCTTTATAGAATGTGTAACATAGTAACAGACACCAAAAAACAAAAAGAAAAAGAATGTTATTTCAAAAGTTTATGATATTTGAAAAAAAAAAAAGTAGGCAGGCCTTGAAAACAAGTAACCCTGATTAAACATCATGTTTGTCCATAAGTCGATTCCTTTATCTTCTCAGATTGCTGCTCATAGTTAAAAAAAAAAAAAAAAAAAAAAAAAGGCACACCTTTCCCCGCCTCTTTTACACATCTCATCTTTTACCTTTCAGGCCACTTTATCGAATTTCCTTTATTATCTTAATGTGAAACTATAGTAAACATTTAATGTATGCTTTCTGTATTTAGTAATGTGTTCTCTCATTTTCTTTTTTCCTCAATTTCTTTTTATCACACAAGTGAGTTTAATTACTAGCTGTCTACCCTACTCCATTCCCTTGCTATTGAGAATTACTGTCTTGTTCTGGAATCAGACATTATCATGCATGTTCTTCATAGAAAATATTCTGAGACCCGTGCAGAGGTCGGCCTGCGGTAACCAGCCTGTAATGTGAACATATAAATATAAGCGGGATTTGCTGAGGTCAGCAGGTGGCACCCTAACTAAATGGCACTCATGAGCCCTCACCCGGAAGGATCACGGTTTCCTTGGACTTGAACTTTTCTTTAGGTTCTCCTTTCTAGAGTCCGACTGAAATCACAGTCAGCTACGGGGCCTTACAAGATATTTTTATAAGAAACTATTTTTATCCAATAACTTAATGGCTTCAACCTATTTATTCCAAAACTTCTGCTCTTTGCTTTGTGCCATTTGTTCAGCTTTTCTAAGAATTAAAACTCTGCCTTACAACATCATTCAAGCGTTGTTTTTATTTTTAGCAAACATTTTTTTCCTCAGACTTTGTATTCACAAACTATTAAAATCCAAACCAATAAGAGTTTAAAGCATTAAGCAAAATGATAGAAAATAATTAATAAAGTCTATTTTTAAGGCTCTGTTTACCTGTTTTTTCTTGAACCTAAGTGGATGGGCAGCTGAGTACATTTATTCATTAATTTAATAGAAGATCATCGCACTCATACCACATACCAGTCAATGTGTCAGGTACCAGGCACGCAATAATTAAAACAGTCTCCCGCCTCAAAGAGCTCCATCATTAGCGAGAGCCATTTAAGACAACAGAATTACGATGAATAAAGATTTGAAGCTAAAAGTCAAAACATCTTATTTCACAACTGTAATTGCTGGAGGCCCTGCACGCCCTTGTGGGGCAGCCCTGTCTCCACCAGGCCAAGCGTGAAGCTCCCTGCGGCGCGAGCTGTGCACATGGGCCTCGCTGGGTAGGGCGGTGCTAGCGGGCGGGCATTCAGGGCAGAGAGAACAGCTTAACAAAGGTAAGGCACGAGGAGGAAAACGCATAAGGCACCAGGCGAGAACTTGCAGAGCAGAGGACGAGGCCGACGGACGGCGAGGCTGGGGGGACACTAGGCAGCCTGGCCAACTCTGCCCGTCCCCCTGCTCTGCTCTAGGCCCCCGCCCCTCCGATGAATC